ATCACAGAATCATAGAATGGCTTAGGTTGGAGGGGACATTAGTGAACATCTAATTCAGCCTCCCTGCCATGAGACAGTGATTTCCTTCCCTTTATAAGTCTGCATGTATCATTTAGAAATGTACAATAATAGTTCATCAATGTTTTTTCAAAGAGATAGAGCAATATTGGAAAACTGTGTCTAGTGCTTGTCGGTTCCTCAAGTCATGTTGTCCCTACAGTTCACTTTGCTCTCATTGGCTATTTTATTCTTTCCATAGGTATTGAATCATTTCTTATGTATTCGGTTCATGAAGGAATTAGAGGAATTCCTCTTGATCCAAATGATAAAATGGATGCTTTAATGCCTATATCTGGAACTTCATTTGCTGTGGGCATAGACTTCCATGCAGGTAAATATTATGTATAGTTTATTGTATGTATGGTAATCATGGTTTACTGTTCTTATAAATGAAGTAACTCTCCAGTTTTAAAACCTTCTAGATAATTACAACTGTATTTAAAGGAATTGTAAGATGATTGTGTGTTACAGTTTTAACCTGTAGCTATTTTTTATTTACAGTAAATAGACAAATGTGTTACATGTATGTAGATTGCATTGGCAGCACTATCAGGTATTCCTTGGTGGAGACATCACTGAAAGCTTCAGTAGGTAGCATGATTTTAGAGAAAGTGGTCATAAATCTGTAGGAAGGCAAGTTTCATTAGTTCTGTCTTAAGTATGCTATGTACCTTTCTACTGCGGTGGAATGTTTTTAGTTTGGATAGCCTCATGCATTTCCTGTGAAATTAGGAAATTTCTGTTTTGCTTGCACATGAAATAAGGTGAAAAAAAAGTTAAGGATAAGATCCTGAAAAGTAACTGAATACATCTCCCACTGGTACTAAATGGTGTGTGAGTATCTTGAAAGACATTAGAGATTTTTGATTAGTTTAAAAAATATTAGAAATCTGTGGCCCGGAAATATCTTGTATCTCCATTTTTTTAACCTATTAGCTCTTTGACTAGCCCTCCTTCTAAACTGATTTTCTCAGGAGCTGATTTTGTTTACAAATTGGCAGTTGAGAAGTAAATTTTAAGTCACCTGTGTTATATACATACAGACATTGACTTCTTGAAATGCAATTATTTCATCATACTCCATTTTTTATCATTTTGGAATAAATTCTACCTGGGAATTTAGCATCGAGAGATCCTAAGTTTTTGCTTAAGTATAAATATATGCCTCCATATTAAAAACAGACCTTTTTGTGCTTGTTCTGTTTGCCTACTTAGTCGCACAAGTATCAGTGTTTGGTTAGCAGATTAGGAATTAAGTTTGTTAAAGTCTTCTCCTTTTGGTCTGCCTTCTTCAATGGTGTTCTCATACCTCTACTCCGCTTAGCAAAATTCAAAGTTTACTCAACGTTTTACAGTGCCCTCATACTTGAATATTTTGCTTTCGAATCAATCACAGCTGATGTTCAGAGCTTTCAATGTCATAGGTACAGTTCAATGACAGTCTACTGAAACATAAAAAACCAGTTAAATAGCCACTGCCTTTATACACATATCGTAGATGAGAAAAGCTATGATACAGCTAATTTCATCTGTTATTGGGAAGATACAGGATGATGGAGAGGTGGTAGCTATGTATGTTTGTGGCAGAGAGTATTAAGACAATGCAGTTGGGTTTTCCAGGTATTACAGTTTTTATTATAACTCATGCCATCATTGTGCCTCCAGGAATCTCTTTACATGGTGTATATACAGGTGTGTATAGGCGAGAGGAGCACAGATTTTACTCTTTTGGTTGAAAGAAGCATTTTGAGTATTCAGACTGTGCTGACAGGGTCTGACAAAAGAGGTAATATTTACCAAATGCTCTGGATGATGAATTTTGAGCTATAGGGTTTTATTGGCAACATACTAATGCATTAAGTGGAATTAATTTTCAGTGCTTGCGGACGAGCTGCCTGTGGACTGTAGGAGTCAATACGAGGCCGTAGTTACTAATGCTCGCTGCTTAGCAAAATGCTTGTAAAAGCTATGTAAGATCGCAGGGATTTTTTGCTTTGTGGCAGCCGGTGTTTCCGGGTATGAATTCTCTTCAAATTCCAGCAATAAAATAGATAAATAGATACTGATGGCTCCAAATGGAGGAAGCCTTCTTTCCATCTGTCTGAAGCAAGAACTGACTTCAGGAACCTGATGCTGATGGGATTTTTCATCTCAGTCTCTTGTTGTTTTTTCCAAGTAATTGGGAAAATAAAACAGGTTTCTGCAACAGGACAGAGACAGTATAGATGCACAAATCTGCAGAAATGTCATCCATTTTTATAAGTGAAGACTACAACAAAATAAAGGCCAATTGCTTCACATAAATTCCTGGTAGCTTGTTCTGCATGACGTGGGTCTTCAGTGTCTGAGTCCTACTGGGAACGTTAATCCATGTTTTAGTGGTATACAGAGAACTTTGATTATTGACGGAAAGGAGCCCATAAGAATTGTGGGCTCCATCAAATAAGAGGAGTTTGCCATTTGAATCAAACCATCCAAGTGCAAACTGTAACTCTGAAAATGCTGGAGTGTCATCTGTGTTTGAAACCGACAGGAATCTTTACTTGTTTGGTGACGAAAAGTACTTTATTTCACATTTTACGGCAAAAGAGTATAGGTTTTAAGCTGTCATATAGTGCCCCAAAACATCAAAATGTCATAGCCAAAGCATTTTACAGCTGTGTTTAATGGAGATTTAATTCAGTATACAGAATGTAGACAAGTAAGGTGTAGGACTGTAAAAGAAAATGAGAATTTTAAGGAAATGTGTTGGCTGAGGTGTAGTATTGGTGTATGGTTGGGTAATTTTTTATCTTTGCATGCTCAAGCTCTTAACATATACTTTTAAGGATACTTTCTAGAAGCAGTGAACTCATGTGCTTCATGGCCTTCCTCCAACACAGAAAATATTACTTGAGTTTTTCTGATTGGTTCCAGTCCAAAACTACTTACTTTTTTTTTTTTCTTTTTTGTAGAACAGTTGCATTCTGCTTAAAAATTCTGGTTATTTTACATGAACACTACCAACTAAATAAAAATCCAATTAGACTGATGTTAAAATAGTATCACTTGTAATATTTATCTTGAAAGTGTGCTTTCCTTTATTAGTGGGAAGTATTTTTATATCTCTGAAGTTATATCTGCACATCTCCATGATTTTTTATGTCCTCACAATGTTTTTTTTTTGTACATGCACATAACAGTTGCTTACTTTCTACCTGTTTATATTCAAGTCAGGTATATTGTGTATTGATGAAAAATGTTGGTCAGTAACAAAACAAAGCTGTGTCAGGATATACTGCATATTATAAAAGTAAATTAGTAATTTTGATAGACTGTTAGTGGTGTATTTAAAGAGAAATATGTGTTGTGCTATTTTAAATTAGTTTTACCTTTTTAACATGCGTTTGTCCGGAAGCAAATCCAAGGTAATTCAGTTTGAATTTTTAGATTACCGAAGGGCACTACAAAGTCAGTTGTGCTGTTGTGATGGAGAAACTTCACTGCAAGGTTCTGGCTAGAGATCTGTTTGAACTTTACTCACAGGTCCAATACACAGACTTCACCACAAGGTTCAGGCTATCAGTTTTTAGACTTACAGGTCTAATCTGTCACAAAGCAGGTTTTTTGGATACAATGGAAGAATGCACTATTGAAATTAGAGAAAGAAACACCACCACACAGGATATGCTATTACAGAACTCAGGTGATTCCCAGAACAAATGTACTAGTACAGATCTAAGAAGAGCGCAAGTTAGTAACAATAACAATCTTACAGTAAGCCACACGTGTCTTAGACACTTGCCTTCTCTCAGGTGAGGATTGTCTATCCCAGGGAAAATGTCTTTATCCAACATCTCACATAAGGGGGAGAAGAATCTCCTACAGTCCCGCTCTATGGTTGGAAAAACTTCTCTCCCCACTTTCTGCCCAAAATCTTTTACACTATAAGGATGGGCTGTGGGGGGCAGAGGCATGCCTAGGGGGACTACCTAGAATGTCTTTGCTGGTATGATGGGATTTCCCCTTATCTCTCCTGGGTGCCCCCTACTAAGTGTGTAATAACTAGCACACCACTGACTCAGCCAGATTAGCATATCTTGATTTACTCAGACAGATTAACATATTTCACACACACATGGTTTACTCATCGCAAGAGTAGATAGTGGTTGAATATGAGACTGGAGCAGAATGTTTGTTATCTTGGGTTTGGTTCTATTCAGGCTTTGGTCCTTTGTCTGCTGTTTCAGTTATATATGCATATTTAATCATGGAAGTGAAAACAGAGATCTCTGTGTTCTTGTAACAGTTTCTAAGCTGTTATTTGGGTTCCTGGTCACGTGGCTGACTTAAATAGTTGTAGTATGAAGAGGCTTTGTCTTCATGGAATTAATTAAACTGGAAAAGGAAATACTTGTAGAATGTGTTAGCCAGTTGGTAAACATAAAAGAATTATGTGTTTTGATTGCTACAAAGCCCTATCTGAAAGTACATAATTAATTTTGTATTTCTCATATTCCACTGATGGGTCTTTGGCATGTGCTTGCACATGATCATAGATCGGTCTCTTACTGTTGAATTGCCAGTGTAATTTCTGTACTCGTTTGAAATAACTAGCAAAATGCACAGCTCCCATATGTGATAATCAAACTGTATGACTGGCATGTTTGTGGTCAGAACTTGTCATTTGATTTATTGATGGTATGTCTAGTGTTCTCGAGCATACAAGACTGGTTTGGTCTGGAATTGACCATTATCTGTATAATTTTGGGGGTTTCTCTCTTCTTATTTAAGTATATTGACACATATATATATACACACACACACATATATACACATACACACTCAAATATATGTGTATATATATTTTAGATCTGTAATATATGTATGTAATCTTTCTATATTTTGACATATATATTATATAAATAAATATGTGCTCTCCTTCTTAAGGAATTAAGACCAGATATATAAAGTATGACAAAATAAAGGTTGAACAAATATTGTTTATGCAGAGAATTATTCTTGAGAGGTGTCATCACTTTGCCCCTTCTAGTTATCAAGGGTAATTTGTGGCAACAGAGAGGAGTGTGTGGCTCTGATTTGGCCACTCCAAATTCTAAAGCCTGCAGGTGTGATTAAATGGTCAGTAAAAAATGCATTTGTACTCTTAAGACTACAAAGTGGTCCTGCTCTTCTGCGTTGTGGCCAGGCATCTACAGCAGAATGGCAGAGAAGACAGTCTGAAATGCCTTAAAACATCTAAAAAGACTGTTAGTGAAAACTTGTGATGACATTTAAAATAAAAGATGAATTGTGGATAGTCAATTTTTTTCTTACTTTAACAATATATCGCTCTCAAATATCACACTTTTTTTTTGCCTAGTTATTTTTTTTTATACTGCCAAATTTCTATCTGTATGATTACTTTTGAAAAGACTGTGTAGGCAATTTTCCACTGTAGTTTTTCAGACTTCTGGATGTTTCGGAATGGTGGTTAATAAATAAAATGTTTTCCAAACATTTATCCCATTAGGAGGAAAAAAGACAATATGCTTATTGTAATTTTGAAAAGGGATGGTAGCTTTTACCTGTTGTCATGGCCCTATTGAGTTATATGTTCAATACTAAACAACAATAGAAAATATAAAATTCTGACTTAGTTATTTAAAGTAAGATTAAAAAAGGGAAAAAGAATGGGGTACTAGAGATCATAGGTCTGATACACTTCTGTTTAGTCCAAGACATTAATAAAGTTATAATTGGCAGTTTTTACAGTTCACGTTGTAGATACTTGGGCTGAATTAACTGCATTAATCTAAGAATTGGTGCCATGTATTTTATAGGAAATGATACAATCTATTGGACAGACATGGGTTTCAATAAAATTAGCAGATCTAAACGAGACCAAACATGGAAAGAAGACATTGTTACAAATGGTCTGGGAAGAGTTGAAGGCATCGCAGTGGACTGGATAGCAGGTAGGTCTTAACCTGCTTCAGGAGTTGTCATGATTTCTGACAGTGTGCTCTTGGCATCTTCAGCTCAAGATTAAATGACTTGTTTTGCTTTCAGCTCTAATTCTAATATTCCAAATGTCTCGTTCTTTTTCTCTGGAGATACTATCACTATGTTTTGCCGTTTTACTACAGACAGAGTAATTATTTTTGTAGCTTGGGACACTATTTCTTAGATGGACAGTCTCAACGGTGACAACCACAAATGCAAGTTTAAAATGAAAGGCTGAATAGGACTAGAAATTACAAGTGTAAGATATGTATAAGTTAAAATACAGTGGTTAGTTTCTCATCCTAACTTAGGCACTTAAATTTTAAGTACTTTTGCGACATTTTTTTCTTTTTCCAGTAACTTCAAGATATTTTTTCCAGGTAACATATACTGGACGGATCATGGCTTCAACTTAATTGAAGTTGCCAGGCTCAACGGCTCATTCCGATACGTAATTATATCTCAGGGCTTGGACCAGCCAAGATCTATTGCGGTACACCCAGAAAAAGGGTAACATGACCATGGCTACTTGCATTTCTTTTAAAATTTGCATGTTAGCACTGAAGCTTATTAACTAAGTTAAGGCCTTCATTCTAATAGATAAGCATTTAAAAAAAACCAAAAAGATTCTGTTGGAAACTGTTGTACTGTCACTTACCACAGGTGGAAGGAAACATTATTATCACATGCTGTTTTTTCATTGGTTTCTGTATATAGAATATACTTTCCTTGCAAGGCAGCTTTCACTTTCCAACACAATCATTTTAATTAAAGTTTAGGTATTGCTTGGAAATATGCTTAAATCTGTTCTTAAGTTTTCAGCAAATCTGGAGAAATCGCGTTAGTCAATGAAAACCTCGCTGTCATGATGAAATCGTAGAACAATGTAATCCTTGGTTGTTATAAATTCTAGTGTATAACATCCCACTGCAACAACCAAGGAGATTGCCCAGAGTGGCTAAAAGTAATGTGGGTAAGAGAGGAAGGGTTGTCAAAAACGACATCTGTATTCATCCAGCTGTTTTGAGAGTAGGGACTAGACTGTAGCATTAACAGAAATAGAGAACCTTCTGTCCCCTTCCAGCTCCAAAACTATTGTTAGCAGAGCTACAACTGTAAAAGAAGCAGTAAATTCTGCAAAGAATTCCCACCTGTTTTTTTCCTGAGAATATGAAACGTGCTTTCTGAGGAAAAAACATATAAGGCAGAGTGCTACACTTAGCCCACTAAAACAGAAGCACAAACCAGTGTATATCAGAATCTTAAAGAAGTGGTTGAGGAACTACCTGCCCCCAAAACCAAAGATGACACTGTAGCTCATTTTCCCCAGATTCAATCAAATCAGTAGCTTGATGTTTTCAGGAAAGAAGTCTCTGTACTCAGAGGAGTTTGTAGCCATAATAATGAAGAATTCTGACTTCTCACTGAGGGTGGGTTGATAACAGCAATGTAAACTGCCGTTTGGATCTCTGATACAATTTCTTCTGTGAGAATTTAGACAGGGATGTGTGTATTTTGCAATGTAGTGTTTTTAAGAATGAAGGTGGAAGAAATAGCTTTTATTTTCTGCATAATGTAATAGCCTTTGCCACAAATCATTATAGCGGTGTTCATATAACACCACTAGTTGCTTGGCAGTATCAGCTAACAGTTTAGGATTAACGTATATTGTTCTTCAGAGTAGGGTCTGGCTGGATTTATTATTATATTTTTGTCTCTAATGTGCTAGAATAGCTGTGCACTTCTGTTAGAAAAAAGGTAAAAAAAAACAAACCCATAAAACGCTTTTGAAGGTATGTATACAGAAACCTGATAAAATTCTTCTGATCAGAAGGGTAGACCAAACTTTTTCAAAATAATAGTTAATTAACAGTGTAATTTTCCTCACCATATATATAATGTATTTGCATATGCAAATATGCAAGTTTTCATGCATATGCAAGTTTTCACCCCTAACTTACATCAAGGAAAGGAAAAGTCCCCATGAATTCTATGAGGGCTAAGCACAGTGGGTGACATTATTCTGGAGAATACTTAGATGTTAGAATAATACTAATTGTACAAATAAAATCCATTATTCTCAACTAGAAATGGTAAAAAGCGTGATCAACTCTTCTACAGTATTTGGAGAGGAAAGATGGATTGTAGTTGAGATCCATCCTTTAACAATTGCTTTAGGTAAGTGTAAATGCAGAACCCGTGACAGAATAATATTTAATACTGCTATTTATAGAAAAGTTGCTTTTTTACTAAAGTATGGGGTTTTTTATCATTGAAATTATGATGTTTTTATATGGTGCTTTCTGACTCAACAGTTCATGGTTCTATTTTACTGGAATAAGTGTGCACATAAGAACATTAAATGGTAGCCAACAATATTACAAAATTCTTCTGGAAAGAGAGTTTCTTTCAAAGTAATGGATATTTAGAGATGCCACTGAACCATTATTTTACACCTTAAAATATGTTTAATGCCCCCCAAAAGCAGATACTAGTAAAATGTGGGTGAAATGGAGGAGTTTAAATTATTGTATTTAATAAACCATCAAGAAGAGAAATGTTAAGTGTGGTAATGACTTCAGTTGTGAAGCATTCCTTCGGTGTTTACGTCTTGCTGAGTTTGTAGTTAGTTTTTGGCTATGTTTAGGATACATAGGAGGATGAGAGGACCACAGATTAGTAATTGCTTTACTGTCCGATAGAACACTCTAGCCTCTGTGAAAGTAGGTAAGCTCTTTCTCTCTTTTTTTTAATAATCACAGAATCACAGAATGTCAGGGATTGGAAGGGACCTCAAAAGATTATCCAGTCCAACCCCCTTCCAGAGCAGGATCGCCTACAGTAGATCACACAGGAACGTGTCCAGGTGGGGTTTGAATGTCTCCAAAGAAGGAGACTCCACAACCTCCCTGGGCAGCCTGTGTCAGGGTTCAGGCACCCTCACAGGGAAAAAGTTCTTCCTAATATTTTTGTGGAACCTTCTATGTTCCAGATTGTATCCGTTGCCCCTTGTCCTGTCATTGGACGCCGCTGAAGAGAGCCTGGCTCCGTCCTCCTGACACTCCCCCTTGACGTATTTATAAACATTTATGAGATCTCTCCTCAGCTTCTTCTTCTCTAAGCTAAAGAGACCCAGCTCCTTCAGCCTCCGCTCCCTTCATCATCTCTGTGGCTGAGCTGGACTCTCTCCAGCAGTTCCCTGTCTCTCTTGAGCTGAGGGGCCCAGAACTGGACACAACATTCCAGATGTGGCCTCTCCAGGGCAGAGCAGAGGGACAGGAGAACCTCTCTCGACCTACTAGCCACCTCCCTTCTAACACACCCCAGGATGCCATTGGCCTTCTTGGCCATAATATGCCACAAAACTCCATCCGGAGATGTCTGCAGTCAAAGTTTTGTTCAGGAGAAGGGACAGGAATGTTTTACTGGTGAACTACAGTTATACCTTCTCTGGGAAGAGTAAGGCCTTTTTACCTTCTGCATTATTGTCATATCTCTTTCCCTTTGTGATGCAAAAACTTTCAAAGGTATTCTCCCCTCCCCCTTGCCCTGACTTCACATTCTTCATTTCTCTTGAGGCTTGAGTTGACAGCTATAAGAATAGAGAGGAAAATAGCTGTTATTACATCTTGCTGCATCTGCCAGTTATACCGAGATATGACGCAGCCAGCCTTCAGCTGGTTGGTGATATTTTTTATTGTTACTAAGGAAAAAGTTAAAAATGTGTAGTCGGTCCTACAAAGGATTGTCTTCATCCCTCATCAGATATACTCATTCATATAATGTACATTTGTCTGACTTGTTTGCTTGATTCCCAGTTAAATAATATTTTTCTGAACAAGCTCTTGTGATTGAAATATGGAGTTAAGCTCATAATGAAATAGTTCGTAGACTTTGAAGATGCCTTCTTCAAAAGCATTTCACAAATTTAATTTGTATTTAGAGTTTGGGGTAGTGGGGAGTTTAAACTCTGATTTAATTTTTTTCCAAAGAAGTTTTTTTTAAGATTCTAAGCCAGCATCAAATTTCTACCAACTGCACCTCTGTGTCAGCTATGTAAATTCTATATGGGATGATTCTGAAATAAGTTGGGTTGTGTTTATTCTAGTATTACAGTATATATATCAAATGCACTGGTAGCATATTGCTACGTACAAAGGTCCAGGAAACAAGTATTTTAGATGCTACTTCCCAGACTTTTTGAATAAGATATGGGAAGATTAAGTATTTCTATACTGGTTAACAGTTCATGTAAGTTTGTGTGTGTATATATATATATATATAAATGCTTTATGCATTGTGCCTTACATTTTTGACAGCTATTCGGCATTTACTTTGGGGGCTTCTAGACCCATTTAATCTTCCATTGGGTTGGAACAAGATTATCTTTAAGGTTCCTTCCAAGCCAAACTGTTCTATGAAATACAGCTATTTAATGACAGATTGGTATACTGCTTTCACCAGGCTAGAAATGGTTAATAAAGCACAGAAGTCTTTTCTGATCTTTACTTTAATTTACTCTAATATATATATGCCACACAAAGGAAGAAAACAATGAAGAATGGATTTGTATATTCTGTTCGCTTTGTGTGCAGTGTATTACTAAACAATGTTTTGGTCTGTTCTTCCAAATGTTTGCTATGAAAACATTTTTCTTCAGGTGTGTAATAATAGACTTGGCCTCAATTCTAGTACCTTAGAAAGAGATTTCGTGCTCAGAACATATTTTTTATATTTTAACATATATTTTAGGTGTTTATAATATATCGTAACACAAATATGCATTCATATGTCTGTATATTTGTAGACATGTAGACATTAACTCAAAGCTATTTAGTAGGTTAGTGTTAAGTAAAGGAAGTATTTTGTGTGTATGAAGTGGCCTCATAATATACCTAAAGCAACAGATTGCAAAGCAGGAATTTAAGGCACAGGTTTGACCTTGCATCATATCTCAAAATAGTGATGTTACTGTGCCAGTGAGTGTACAGTAATATAAAATAAGATGCAGATTTGTCCCGTGAGCATTAGGAAGAATAGGAGGTATATTTTCTTTCCAAATAAAATCCCATTTCCCACAGTGTTTCTTCACTGCTTTGTATTTAAAATATTGTTAGACATAAATGTCTTGTATTATCGCAACATTTATTAGTGATTAGATACAAGAGCTTCCATTCCAGTATATTTTTTTCTTATATGCTTTTAAATTCAACAAGTGCAAAGCTGGATTCTTGAAGGAATAAAATTGCATATTGACTAATTAAATGTTAAAAGAATGACTTGATATATCTAATTTGCAAAAAAAATCTCTCAAAGTGTTCTATGAGACAATTTTTTGATGTATTTAATTTCTTAAGATTATTTAGAGATGTGAGCCTTAGCGTGTTTTTTAAATGCCTATTTAATGATAATGGTGCATTTTGTTTGCAATAAAGTACTGTATTATGTATTTTCAACTCTTATTTTGATGGTCAAGTATAACTGGTAATTTTTATGATGTTTTAGGTATTTATTTTGGACAGAGTGGGGACAAACTCCTTGCATAGGCAAGGCACACTTAGATGGATCCGAGAAAGTTGTGCTTGTGAACCTGGGGATTGCGTGGCCGAATGGGATTTCCATCGACTATGAGGTTAGTTCCTCTGCCTCCCAGTGCGTGTTAACATGTGCAGCATTTGCCATATTTCGTTAAAGCCAACTCGTCTTCCATTTGGATGTAATCTTACTAACTCTTTAATTAAATACTCAGATAAGATTTTTGACGTTTGCTTTAAAATTAATCTTTAGGAACATAAATTGTATTGGTGTGATGCTCGTACCGACAAGATAGAAAGAATTGACCTTGAGAGTGGAGGGAATCGGGAGATTGTGCTGTCAGGGAGCAATGTGGATATGTTTTCAGTCGCGGTGTTTGGAGCTTACATCTACTGGTCTGACAGGTAATTTATTTTTCATAAGTATTTGAGTCTCAAAATGTTATTTCAGTGCCAGGTGCTTCACCTTTGTAGGATTAGCCATTCCTTAGCAAGGTCGCAGAGCGGATCGCAGAAACCCGTGCAATTTCCAACGAGAGGGCATTTCTGATGCTGAAAGCTAAAGCGTATCAGTGTCGTAGATGACAACAGGTTTCTTCACCTTTCCTTAGGTGAACTCTCCACTGCCCTTCAGTCATTTGTTTGGTGTGAATTAGTTGAGGATTGTTGATGAGGCATCTTCAACTTTTTTGGCAGAGCACATGCAAATGGCTCTATTAGAAGAGGCCACAAGAATGAGGCCACGGATGCTGTGACCATGAGGACTGGCCTTGGGATAAACCTGAAGGAAGTGAAAGTCTTTAATAGAGCACGAGAGAAAGGTTGGCTGTTCTTAAGGATGCTATTAATTGTTGTAATATCACCTGCTACTTTTTATGTATATTAAAGCGTACCAAAAGTGAAGTAATCACTAATTTTATCTCCACTTTTTACTCTTGAGGTATTTTTTTTTCAGCTAAAGTTAACGTACTAAAGAAAACACATATAGTACAAATTCTACTAAAATTCTTATGAGTATTTTAAGGAAAAAAAAATCTAAAACCAAAACACTTCCTGTCATTCTAGGTTTGGTAGTTCTTGTTTTGTTTTTTGAAAAAGCAAAAAACAGATGTAGGAATGAGAGGGACCTTGAACTGTGCTTCAAAAAGCAGTTATCTCAGTCTCAGATTTTTATTGGCAAGTAAACCAGGTTTTTTTTTCCCACGGATAGAAACTCCTAGCCTCTGTCTCTCAAATATTTATTTCCTGAAATTACTTGATTTTAAGTCCTAAGGTTTCTCTGTGTGGAAAGAGACCTTGTAAATAATCAAATTTCCTTTATGTTCAATATGTTTAGTGAATTCAAGAGACACTGTCTGTGATTTATAGTATGTATGGTTAAGTTTTATTCTTCACTACCTGACTAAGAGTAATCTTGCTTTTAGATGTACTTTTCCTCCTAAAATTCTAGTTTTGAAGACACCTTGAAAAACGTGTTTCAGTGAGCAAAACTGGTTACAAGTAATAAAAAATTGTGATTTTCTCAGAACAAACTGCTACCAGGTCCTTCAGACAAAGTTGCCCATAAATATATTTCAAGAGAAAGGGGGAAGAGAAGTTACTGTAATACAAGATAAACTTTTTAAAATACAGATACATCTCTGATGTTGGTACCACTCAAGAGTTGCTTTAATCACTGCATTACATACCTGAAGATCCTGTTTCTTTTATATACACCTTTCCTAAATAATTGCATTAAATATGACGTGTACAATAAATCTGCATTTTGAAAGAAAACAATTAACAATCAATAAGAAAAAAATGTCTTTTTTTAAAAAAGAATTTTAAATAGTTTCAAATGAAATCACTTTGCAAACATATGCATATTAATTTTAAGAAGAATTTTTGCATGTAATTTCAGAACACTGTGGGCATCATATTTTGTGGCTAAAAATATTCCATACAAAAATTTATTGTTTCTTTTAACTAGGCTGGAAATAGTTAATGTCTGCTTGCTTGGAAGAGCTTTATATTATAGAATTAGGAAAATAAAACAGTAGGATAAAACAATGCTTCTCTATTTTTGACTTTAAAGACTTGATCACAGTAGGAATAGGAGAAGCCGTTACTGAGACTAAAAATCTTTTGTTGTTAGTTTGCAAAACGTAACGGAATGATTTTTTAATACATTTTTCAAATTTTACTAGGGTACAAATGGTTAATGTCTTTGGGAGGGGATGTCAGTGAGCCAGAAGGACAAAAGGGAAAAAAACAGGTGAAAAATGTTTTTGAATGTTTTTCTATATCACACTATTATATACATTTTTTAAGTTCATTCATCTAGAAGTAGTTAACACTATTTTTAAAAAGTTCATTAGCTAGCTTCCTGACCTATTATTAAAACACAAACCAACCAAATAAAAATAATCCTGCCCCCTCCCCAAAAACCCAACCAACAACCTGTGCCAATTGTGGTCAATGCTTTTTTTCAAACACCAGTTTTACCCTTTCTGATGAGCCAGTCTTGCAGTGTTACTTGCAAGTGGATTCCTGTCCTTCCCTATTTCACATGCGTGCAAGGACATGCCCTAACTACCTTGGGTTCAGAACTGGCCATTTTTCACAGCTGGCGAATTGTGGAAGCATTGAAGTTTTTGAAGAGAAATTTTAGAAGCTTTAAGGATCTTTTTCCGTATATTTTGCTTTCTCTTGTCCACCTCTCATCCTTCCAAACAGATATTAACTTTTCTAGCCTAATAAAACTTTAAAAGAATATTTAAAACAAATCAAATGTAAAAAATGTATACAGCTAAATCTCAAAATGTTTTTACATAAATATAGAGAAATATGTCTCATGTAGTGTTGCCTAGGAACACAAATGTTTTCTCATGTTGAGAGCTCTCATTTCCCATTATTTTTTCTTAAAAGTATCTTGCAACTTGAAATGCAGCAGTTAGAAAATACAGTCAACAGTACTTCCAGTCACTGCGTGCTCCCTGCCAATTATTATGGTTTTCTACCAGAAAATGGTCTCTTTAAGAGGTTTTCTTCTTCAGTCTGTGGAAAACTTTCAGAAATGGGAAAGCGACTGTATTGAAAGAGCTGTGTTATTATATGGAAAGTGCTGTCAGAAACAAACTGAATTATCTAAACTAAGTATACTTGTAATTCATATGTAGTCTAATAAAGGCAAAGGAAAATAGCTCCTAATTATTGACAATTACTGTAATTTTATATATTGCTTACAACAAGTCATTGAAGTTACTAATTTGACAGTGGTTTCTTAATGGTGTACATTTGTCAGGGAGTAAGTTTTTAAAGTCAGGTTTTAAAGGAATTTAGAACAAAATGTTAAGAAATGTCTTCACTAAAAAGAGGGAACCAGATTTATGCAGTTTTGTACCTTTCAGTATGTATTTTTTCATTTTGACACACAGGATCGAAAAAAAGTACTTGATTATGATGTCATCTAAAATTTGACTTTTTGTCAGTAACAGGTGTTTTATAAAAAGTAAATCTTTGAAAGCACCTCAAGCAATCTCTTAAGTCTTTGGCTGATTATGGAGAAATAACTCAATTTACCATTTTCTCTTAATAAATTCTATTAATAAATATAGTTAAATATACACTCTTCTGAATTGAAAAGGACATATTTGTTCATTAATTGTACTCTTTAAAATTGTCTTTAGGTTGTGATTAAAGTTACATTTTTTAGTGTTTTGGCCTTTGTTTTACTTGGCAATATTGTAGAAACCATTCTAAGAGAGGAATGCATGAAGTTACGTTTTGATTTGAGTTAGCTAAGTGTAATATTATAAAAGATAGATTTTAATTTTTTTTGCAGGTACTAACGTTTGTGCCAAGAATAATGGTGGATGTCATCAGCTTTGCCTTTATCGGGGAAGTGCCCAGAGAACTTGTGCTTGTGCACATGGTTATCTTGCAGAAGATGGAATTACTTGCCTGAGGCATGAGGGTTACCTGTTGTACTCGGGGAGGACAATATTAAAAAGTATACATCTTTCGGATGAAACCAACTTAAATTCCCCAGTAAGGCCATATGAAAATCCAGAGTACTTCAAAAATGTGATAGCCCTTGCTTTTGACTACAGTCTGAAAGGAAGAGGTACGAATCGCATATTCTTCAGTGATGCACACTTTGGGAATATACAAGTCATTAAAGACAACTGGACTGGCAGAAAAGTGCTCATTGAAAGTAAGTAAAAAAACCGTTTCCCGAAATGCATGTGTCATTAAAATAAACTTTATTAAGTGAAAGTTTGATAATCACTTGAATTTATAAAAATCTTTTTTTTAGCGTGCTCTAAGTATATAACACAATTATTTTATCCCTGTAAGATACATTTAGACATTATCTTCAAAATTACAGCTTCAAAGGAATTTATTTTGTAACCATCTTAGGATATGTAAAGCATAGTACTAGAAGTGATAATGGTGGTCGGTAATTGGCATTACTGTAATTCTTTTAAGAAGTTTGACTGTTGAAACAAAACCTCATTGTGCAATGCTTGGAAATGAAAAAAGTCTCCTTACCCCATGAATCCCTTGATTGTTTATTTTTGTTTGGTATTGTAAGAAACGTCTGCAGGCACAACCATTCCTCAGTATCAAATGTTATCAAACATAGTCAGAGGCAAACTCCAACTGAAAAAATTGGTCATTTTTAGTAGCTTTACGTGTTTACTATGCCTTCATTCACCATGCTGGTAAGAGGAGTCATGATACTTGACATTTTCATAGCCTCTGAATACTTGAAGCTTGGCACTGCTATCAAGGAAGTGCCACCAGTAGTGTCACCAAGGTCTTCGGGACAAGACACAAAACATTTCATTGCTGAGGCCTCCATAAAATCTTGTAAGGATCTGGTGCTGAATTCTTTATCAGCAGAGTCTAATGTAACTTTAATACAAGGTGTACGTTAAAGTTGTCATGGCTCATCATAGCTAAATCAGAACTCGAGGAAAATCTGAATGGGAATGTGTAGGCGATGTATATCCCTAATGCTAAACATTCATACATCTGTGCTACAAAATTCTAAATACTAAAAGCTTCTGCTGTTTTTCCATTTCTGTTCCAGTTTAATCATTCTAAAATATGCAATAAACCTCATTTGTCTGTAGTTAGTTACCAGATGGGTATATTTGCTGTGTTTCTACTCTTCGTGGCAGTTTTTGAGTACTGTCTGGTATTTTTGGAGTCAGCAGTTCGCTTCAGTAACTGTTTTTGCAAAATATCCCAAGTATTGCATAATTTTTACTCCTTATGTTGTGGACAGTTCTTATCTGAATTTCTGGTATCATGTGCTATATTGCCTGTGATCTTGCTACATTTAAGTATTTGTTTGGCTCAGATAGTTCAACAAGACCAAAGAATGTGATTAAGAAAAATGGAAGTAAATTTGATGGGGGACATATCACCCTTTGCTGTGGTTGTTAGTGGAAATATTTAAAAAAAAATAAGTTAATCAGCTGCAAACTGATGAAATATTATTCTACAACTGATGCTGCATAATTGTATTATTATGTACATCTGCCAGAGGTTCTGGGTAGGTATTCATGGTCGTGAAAACTGTTGACATTAATTAACAGAAAAACGTTTTTCAAATATTGTACAAGGCCTTCTTTGAGTTTTTACCTGTGCATGTATCAGAGGAATTACTGATAGCTGTATTAAGATGTGGTAAAGAGAAACTAAGCAGTGTTGTCGGGATGTTCTCATGACTCCCAGGAAAGCATTAAAATGTAGGGATTGGGCATCAAGGTTAGCCGCACAAGAACCACAAAGAGCTCACAGAGATGTGCAGTGCTGCCATAGAAGCACTATTTTAATTCTGGTGTCAAAGGAAGAAATTTTGTTAGATGAAAAGACACTGGAAATTTTTATAGTTAAAACAAAGAGGGGAAAGAAATACTGCTGAAGCACCAATGCAGTCAGATATTGGGTTTTTTGGTTTTTTTTAAAGAGCAATAAAGTACTCCTCATTACTTTATAATAGGTTGTTGTACTAGAGCTGGAGACATTCCATAAAGCAGAGTTGAGAATTATAGTTTTAAGAAATTGTCAGGAAGTGTTTTAACTTGTAATCTTAATATGCCCGATTTTATTTTTCATTAGCAGAGTCAGCACTCTGAATAATTGAATGTCAGATGAAATTTTATATCCTTGTAAAAAAATTACTGCATACGCTTGGGATGTGTTTGTGAACTATGGCGGTATTTTCTAGAAATAATCTGGTTGTTTTTTTCATTGCAATTGGAAGGATATCACATCCCCATATATGTTAGTTTATTACTCTCCTTGTGTTTTAAAACCACTTTTTTTTCCTGTCGAAACTTTCATTTTAAACTGGTCATTTTATACTCCATATCCTTCCTTTCCAGAGTCTGCACATGATTTTCTCTCACTCTAAACAGGAGACAATTGATGAAACTGCTTGATATAGTGGCAGTATTTGATCAACAGTGATAGCCATTAAAAAAAAAAAAAAAGCAGTGGTAAGGCTGTTTGACACCAGTGATTTCATTAAGTGGAAGACATAAAATTCTAAAATTTTCTGATTTCCATGTTAACTATATGTGATTACATTGAAACTATTAGATGGAATCCACCAGACAGATTTTAGTAATAATGTTTCTTTGCAGGATTAAAAGACTTCTTTGACATAATTTTGCTAACTTATTCCTTCAAAATTATTAGGATGCATCTGTAGCAAGTTTTCCTTTATCAGGAAGAGATTCAAAACCTCATTGGAAATATCTAGTGTGGTTCCAACAATTCTGTAACCCCTTTCTACCCCGTTAAGTTAAAGTCTACAAATCATGCAAACCTGTACTCAGTATTTTGACTTAAATAGAAAACAGAGTACTTTATGTACAAGATACTGTTATCCTAGATTTTTAGTTCACTGAGTGTAGATCTGCTTGTAAAGAATCCATCAGTTAATGGATTTCTACCTCACTGTAATCAGGTATGCCACTCAAATCTAACACATTTGTGAACTTTTCTGCACACTAAAACCAGAGTTAAGATATATATAAAGAGCCCTTTGTTAAACACGTTTCCAGTTCACTAAAAACAGATTTACAACTCACGAGCAACCCATTATCTAACGTGTTTTTAGCTCACTGAGAACAGATTTACTACCCAGAAACAACCCATTATCTAACATGTTTCCAGTTCACTGAAAACAGATTTACAACCCTACACAAGCTATTATCTAACATAGTTCCGACTCACTGAATATTGATTTAGAATTCATAAACAACCCATTATCTGACAAATTTTCACCTCACTGAACAGATTTGCAACTCATAAACAACCCATTAGCTAACACATTTTCGGCTCAGGGAAAGTAGATTTACAACGTATAAACAACTTTATCTAAGTTGTTCCAGTTCACTAAAAACAGATTCAAAACTCAGGAAGAACCTGGTACCTAATAGGGTTTTTTTTTCAGGAAGAAACAATAACAACAACAAATAAACAGTGCAGTGTGTGTATGGTATGTCATACCCTAACATCTTTGGTTTTTGTATGGCATGGGGTTTTTGAGTGGATTCCTGGTTATTTCTGAACTCTGCTGATGAAGTGAGCCACATTTCCTTTGCTCAGTCAGTAGGAGCTCTTTTTTTCTCCTCTTGTTTTTATATGTAACTTTATGGGGTTAATCTTTCTTGATATTTTTAAAAAAAAACACCTCCTTGTTCATGGCTATGATTTCCCACAAATATTTCTTTGGGTGATGAATAATCTAACCATTCAATATTGCTCGTGGCTTTATCACTGTAGCATCGTGCATGGTTTTCATGCAGCAATCTCTATTTTAAATATGTTGTGACATATGGTGACTGCCACCTATATAGCCTCTTTTGATCTCAGTATTTCCTTCCAAGAAGAGTGCAAGAGGTAATATTTTATTGTCTGTCTTGCTGAAAGTACACAAAAAATATTAGACTTTGAAGGAATGGGTAGATGCTTACTGTGGGGTTCCACCCATCCAATAGGCCAGCAGGTCAAGGGAGGTGATTCTCCCCCTCTACTCCACTCTCATGAGATCCCACCTGGAGTACTCTGTCCAGTTCTGGAGCCCACAGCACAAGAAAGATCTGGACGTGCTGGAGCGTGTCCACAGAAGGGCCACGAGGATGATGAGAGGGCTGGAGCACCTCTCCTATGAAGACAGACTGAGAGAGTTGGGGCTGTTCAGTCTGCAGAAAAGAAGGCTTTGAGGAGACCTTATTGTGGCTTCCAGTATCTCAAGGGGGCTACAAGAAAGCTGGTGAGGGGCTTTTTAGGATGTCGGGCAGTGACAGGACTAGAGGGAATGGATTGAAGCTGGAGATGAATCGGTTCAGATTGGACGTGAGGAAGAAGTTCTTCCCCATGAGGGTGGTGAGACCCTGGCACAGGTTGCCCAGAGAGGGGGTGGCAGCCCCATCACTGGAAGTTTTTAAGGCCAGGCTGGATGGGGCTCTGGGCAGCCTGATCTAGTGGGGGATGTCCCTGCCCATGGCAGGGGGTTGGAACTAGATGATTGTTAAGGTCCCTTCCAACCCTGACAATTCTATGATTTTTTTTGTAGCCTTCTCCTGTGTAGTTGTAAAGGCCAGCCTTACAGCTCTCCGTACACTGGCTTCTAACCTCTAACCCAAGCTAGCTAATATACATGTGTGTTTTTGTGTCCCATTGTGTTATAAAAGCTTCATGAACCTTCTGATGAGGCAAAATGTTTGAGAACCTCCGTGACGTTTCCTATTTTATCATTGTCTATGGTAGTCCTTTGTAAACCAGAACACAGTCACAGGGATTATACTGGGAAACTTCTGTGAGAAGCAGTGTCCCAACAAATTGAATCCTGATGCATTTCGTAGTCTATAGGCAATCGAGGGAGGTTACATACACTTTGGAAGTTGTTTCTTATTTAATTTTAGCCCCCAGTGTACTGCAGACTTTGTAGAAAAGGAGAAGAAGACATTAAATACAAAAGGAGGTACAGAAAGTAATAAATTTGCATGGAAGTGACACTGGGTTTAAATCACTATGTTGAGTGGCCATCTCCAAATAATCTTTAAAATTTCTGTTCGACCCTACCAGAACTGTGTCTTCTAACTGTTGCCAGTCTTTTTGGGAAAATTTGTTACTGAAAACCTGGGTTAAAATGAGATAACGGAGCAGTAAACAGAAAGAAAGAACGGA